GGTATAAGTCGGCTTAATAAAATTCAGTTAAATATGGAATTTCGGTGAAATAAGAATTTTTCTTTATAAAAATTCAGTTAAATATGGAATTTCTGTGAAATACAAATTCCCATTTGTAAAATTTAGTTAAATATAAATTCTTTCGGTATAATTCGGCTTAATGAAATTCGGTTAAACATAGAATTTCTGTTAAATAAGAATTTATGTTAATAAAATTCGGTTAAATATGAAATACAAATTTCTATTCATAAAATTTAGTTAAATATGAATTCTTTCGATATAATTCGGCTTAATAAAATTCGGTTAAACATTGAATTTCTGTTAAATAAGAATTTATCTTAATAAAATTCGGTTAAATATGTAATTTCCATGAAATACAAATTTCTATTCATAAAATTCAGTTGAATATGAAGACTTCCGATGTAATTCTGCTTAATAAAATTCAGTTAAATATGGAATTTCGGTGAAATAAGAACTTTATTATGAAAATTTGGTTAAGTATGTAATTTCCATGAAATACAAATTCCTATTCATAAAATTCAGTTAAATATGAATTCTTTCGGTATAATGCAGCTTAATGAAAGTCGGCTAAACATAAAATTTCTGTTAAATAAGAATTTATCTAAATAAAATTCGCTGAAATATGTAATTTTCATGAAAGACAAATTTCTATTTATAAATTTCAGTTAAATATGAACTCTCTAAATGTAATTCGGCTTAATAAAATTCGGTTAAATATGGAATTTCGGTGAATTGAGAATTTTTTTATAAAAATTTGTTTCTTATTTATAAAATTCAGTTAAATATGAATACTTTCGATATAATTTGGCTTAATAAAATTAAATTAAACATAAAATTTCTGTTAAATAAGAATTTTTCTTTATAAAAATTTGGTTAAATATGGAATTTCTGTGAAATACAAATTTCTATTTATAAGATTCAGTTAAATATGAACTCTCCCGATGTAATTCGGCTTAATAAAATTCGGTTAAATATGGAATTTTTGTAAATTAAGAATTTTTTAAAATTAAAACTGGGTTAAGTATGGAATTTCTGTGAAATACAAATTGCTATTCATAAAATTCAGTTAAATATGAATTCTTTCGATATAATTTGGCATAATAAAATTAAATTAAATGTGAAATTTCTGTTAAATAAGAATTTTTCTTTATAAAAATTCGGTTAAATATGGGATTTCTGTGAAATACAAATTCCTATTCATAAAATTCAGTTAAATATGAATTCTTTCGGAATAATTTGACTTAATGAAAGTCGATTAAACATAGAATATCTGTTAAATAAGAATTTATCTTAATAAATTTGGTTAAATATGTAATTTCCATGAAATACAAATTGCTATTCATAAAATTCAGTTAAATATGAATTCTTTCGATATAATTCAGCTTAATAAAATTCAGTTAAATATGGAATTTCTGTAAAATAAGAATTTTTTTAAAATAAAAATTCGGTTAAATATAAAATTTCTGTGGAATACAAATTTCTATTAATAAAATTCAATTAATTTTTAATTCTCTCAATAAAATTCGACTTAATAATCAATTCTAACTTTTATTTGTGAAAATAAAAATGAAATTATTCCATTTAAAGCCTTATTATAAGTGTAATCAGACCGCAATTGGCAGTAAAAGGACATATAACAAATATATAACAAGTGCTTTAACAATCATTGTTTAGATTTGATCAGGGGGGGGTTAATTGTGATAATTCAAAATAAAGGGGACACGTCTTTTGCAAGGGGTCATATAAAGGTATATAACATATGCTGGTCTCAAAGTTAAATAATCAAACCTGTACCTCGTCAAGATCTACGTATATTATATATATATATAAATGAGTGACGAGGTTTCGTGCAACACGTTAGGTTGTATGACCTGCTCTGTCCGAGTAAACTTGCGTCACACGATATCAGCCATATGCTTTGCTTTGCAAGCGTCGGCGTTGGCGGCGTCAATCCGTAGTTCGTTTGCTCTTGCTCTTTAATTATTCGTCGAGCTGCCTAATTGCAAATTTCGCATGCTGTGCATTTTCCACCGTTCTATTACATTTATATATTTATATTCACTTAATGAAACAAAAAAAAAAAAAAAAAATACAAACAAAAAATTAACTAAAAATTTTTTAAAACAACTCATTATTCTTAATTAATTTCAATTTACATATTATTATATTAAATTTTATATTGAATTCATTTCCATTTTTATCATTAAATTTAATTTTCAATTATAATATTATGGATGGAGTGAAATTCGTTATATATATATATATAAAAAAAATGTATGAAATTTAAATAAAAACGGAATACTGATCTAATTTATTTTCATTCAATAGTTTACAAAAACATTGAAATGAAATTTATTTAACAAATAAATATTAGGCTAAATAAGAATTAAATTATTTAAATATCAAGTAAGTATCAGACAAATAAAATATTATGCCAAATAAGAATTAGAATAACTAAACATTAGGCCAAGTAAGAATTAGGCAAGTTAAATATTATGCCAAATTGGAATTAGGTAAACTATAATTATTATGCTGTACATAAAATTAGGAGAAAATTATATAATCACTTATATTACAAAAAAGCAAAAAATAAATAAATAAAGAGAATATTATATTTATTATGCGAAAGATTTTTGACGTTCGCAAATATAAGTTGAATAAAAATGGAGGAGGGAGGGGGGAAAGGTATTGAGATTAACGAGGGTCAATCGTCGGCTAATCTTTCGTTTTCTCTGTTGGGTGCTTCGATAAAACGATGAACTCATATTAGCAGCGAGCAAGTCGATACCTCAATAAGGTTTCTAATCGATAAACGTTGGCTGATGGTGGTGGGTGGAATTGGTTGGATGACTGACTAGCTGCCAGGAGTATCTACATCGAGTGTAGAAAGACTACCAGGTCGAGCTGTCAGTATAGATTGAGCAAACAGTGCTTTTACATTATGAAACTATATATTCTCTCTATATATCTCTCTCTGGGTCCTGAATTTTCTTAGTGCAAATCGATTTTAGTAATCGATTATAATGATTAATTAAATTTTCATTTGATAGTATTCTTATATTTAACAGAATTTTCATTTTCACTAAATTATTATTCAGCAAAATTCTCATTTAACAAAATTTCAATTCAACTGAATTTTCATTTAACAAAAATTCGGTTTAATCAAATTTCCATTTAGCACAATTTCTATTTTTAACCAAATTTTTCTTTAATAAAAATTTCTATCTTTCAGATCATTTTCATTTAACTCAAAGTTTCTTTTAATACATTTTCTATTTAACTGAATTTTTATTTAGCAGAATTTTCACTTAACAGGAATTCCGTTTAACCAAATTTCCATATAACACAATTTCTATTTTATTTAAAAAAAATTTTTATGTTTGTCAGAATCTTCATTTAACTCAAGTTTCAGTTTAACATATTTTCAATTTAATTGAATTTTCATTTAACAGGAATTCCATTAAACCAAAATGCCATTTAACACAAGTTCTTTTTTAACTAAATTTTCATTTAACACAATTTCTGATTGGCATAATTTTCATTTAACTGTAATTTCCTTTAACGGATTTTCTATGTCTCATAATTTTAATTTAGCAGAATTTTCAATTAACAGGAATTTCGTTTAACAATATTTTCATTTAACACAATTTCTTTTTTAACCGAATTTTCATTTAACACAATTTCTGATTTTCATTAAACTTAAGTTTCGTTTAATAGATTTTCCTATTTAACTGAATTTTCATTTAGCCGAATTCTCATTTAACAGGAATTCCATTAAACCAAATTTCCATTTAACACAATTTCTTTTTTAACCGAATTTTCATTTAACACAATTTCTGATTGGCATAATATTCATTTAACTGTAATTTCCTTGAACAGATTTTCTATTTAACTTAATTTTAATTTAGCAGAATTTTCAATTAACAGGACTTTCGTTTAACAATATTTCCATTGAACACAATTTCTTTTTTAACCGAATTTTCATTTAACACAATTTCTATGCTTGTCAGAATTTTCATTTAACTCAAGTTTCGTTAAATAGATTTTCTATTTAACTGAATTTTCATTTAGCGGAATCCTCATTTAACAGGAATTCCATTTAACACAATTTCTTTTTTAACCTAATTTTCATTTAACACAAATTCTAATTGGCAGAATTTTCATTTAACTGTAAATTCCTTTAACAGATTTTCTATTTAACTGAATTTTCATTTAGCAGAATTTTTACTTAACAGGAATTCCGTTTAACCATATTTCCATTTAACACAATTTCTATTTTAACCGAATTTTTATTTAACAAAACTTCTATGCTTGTCAGAATTTTTATTTAACTCAGGTTTCGTTAAATAGATTTTCTATTTAACTGAATTTTCATTTAGCAGAATTTTCATTTAACAGGAATTCCGTTAAACCAAATTTAACAAAATTTCTATTTCAATCAAATTTTTATTTAACAAAATTTTTGTTTGGCAGAATTTTCATTTAACTGAAAGTTCCTTTAACAAATTTTCTATTCAACTGAATTTTCATTTAGTAGAATTTTCACTTAACAGGAATTCCGTTTAATCAAATTTCCATTGAACACAATTTCTATTTTTAGCCGAATTTTTATTTAACAAAATTTGTGTTTGGCAGAATTTTCATTTAACTGAATTCTGCGATAAAAAAATTCGATAAAATTGAAATATTTTACTGCTTTAAAAAGTTTGGTTAAATATGGAAAATCGGCTTTATAAATTTTGAAACATTGAAAATAGAAAGAAGAAGAGGAAATTAGTAAACTTAATTTTGGTTTTTCTGTAAAATTTCCTTTGGGAAAATTTGGCACCGGCCAAAAGTTCGCGAATATTTATATATATATATATTTAATATTTGAGGTGGTTCAAAATCGAAATTCATCGGACCAATATAACTTCAGTTCATTGGACACACGGCCCTCGCATTTTTCGGCTTTAGGTAGTAAAAAATTCATTACTCACCCAAGGAATCGATCGTGAGTCCATGTAATTACGTGCCAGGGACGTTGATCTTTAAGCTTTTCGAGTATAGTGACCATAACCGCAGCGCTCAGGAGAAAGACAAAGTAATATATTTCACCATTCACTGCATATTCTAAAAATAAAATGGAAAATAAATCACTTTTAATCATTCAATATTTACTTTCGTTGACATTTCAAAAATTATATATATTTTAAAATATATTTCTTATGCTAAATTTCACTTTTTCAAACTACCAGAGAGATGAACATTTAAAAATTATTAAATTTCTAGTGTTTCAAAAATTGATATAAAATTTCTATTAAGCCAAATTTTCATACTGGAGCGAATTTTTATTTAATTTAATTCTTATTTCTATTTATTCAATTGAAGTTATTTTAATTTTATTTTAATGGAAATTTACATATATATATATATATATATATTTAACAGTATTTCTATTTAACAGAAATTCTTGTTTATAAAATTCGGTTAAATAAAAAATTTCTGTTAATTAAGAATTCTTCTTTATAAAATTCGGTTAAATATGGAATGTGTGTGAAATACAAATTCTTATTCATAAAATTTAGTTAAATACAAATTCTCTCGGCATAATTCGGCTTAATAAAATTTGGTTAAATATGGAATTTGTGTGAAATACAAATTCTGATTCATAAAATTCAGTTAAATACAAATTCTCTCGGTATAATTCGGCATAATAAAATTTGGTTAAATATAGAATTTCTGTGAAATACAAATACAAATCGAATTAAATGAAAATATTTGTTATAAAATAATGAGAAAATTATTTAATAATTTTTCTAATGGATTTAAAAGCACACACAATGCAGAATAAAAAGAGAACTTGGGTGCGAAGAGATATTTACTTATTCACATGGTATAAAAGATAAGATTTGTACCTACGTACCAGATAAGATTCTTTTCTCAGAAAATGACTCCAGAGATGTCGGCTAAAGCTATTATACCAGGAGGCGAAAAGGAAAAATGATTCACAATCCTCTAATGACCCCAGGAAATTTACTCTACGATTTCACAATCGAATATTTTCGACGTTAACAAAAGCATCCGTCATCTGAATGTCTATATATATATATATATATATATATATCTGAAAAAAAAATTAAAGTGTTAAAAATTAAATAAGAATACTGTACATAATATAAAGATATGAGTACTTAGGAAAAAAAAATTTATTTGATTCAAATAATCGGTTACTTTATTATCAAACAAATATTTATTTGTATTAAATATTATTTGAGTATATTTTATATTTGTGCGTCAATTAAATGGTATTTGTTTCAAATAAAGAAATTATATTGATTCAAATAAAATTTATACATATAATTCAAAAAAAAAAAAAAATTATTTGGTTCAAGTAAATATTTATTTGATTATAATCAAATAAAAATTTTTTTTTTCAATTTATTATTTAATATAGAAAAAATAAAAAATATGCCACAACTTCTAAAATGAAATTATATAAAAGAAAAGTGTGAGAAATTTTCTCTTAATTAATCATCATCGATATGCGGAAAAAATGGTCCTGCCAATTAACACAAAAAAAAAAAAATAATAATAATAATAATTAAACAGCGAAGGGAAAGTTAATTTAATTTGTCAAACTCGTTACTCTCGTTGAACTAAATACAATTTCGTTAATTAATTGTATCAACTGCTTCGCGCAAGGTATAACGATGAAGCAACGAAGTGAACCTGATTTGGCTAACGAGGCAAAATCTTAAATTAAAGAAAGCACTCGCCGTACCATTCCGCCATTATACAAATTCACTTTGTCCTCTTTCCGCGTTTGTCTCTTCGGCCTTTTTATAACGAGAATCGATTCACGATTATTTCCCTTTTAATTCATCATTATTTGCCACTCATTCACGCGAAATTTCTTTATCATTGGCTTATAGTTTTTTTTTTTTTTTTTTTAATAATAATATCTTTAATCATTTGTTAATTAATCGATTATTGCGATATATCGATTATTTCGATGTATCGATTACTTCGATATATCGATTATTTCGATGTATCAATTACTTCAATGTATCGATTATTTTGATGTATCAATTACGTCAATATATCGAATATTTCGATGTATCGATTACTTCGATATATTGACTATTTCGATATATCGATTATTTCGATGTATCAACTACTTCAATGTATCGATTATTTTGATGTATCAATTACTTCAATATATCGAATATTTCGATGTATCGATTACTTCGATATATTGACTACTTCGATGTATCAATTACTTCAATGTATCGATTATTTTTATGTATCAATTACTTCAATATATCGAATATTTCGATGTATCGATTTCTTCGATATATCGGTTATTTTAATACATTAATTACTTCGATATATAGATTATTTCGATGTCGATTACTTTGATATATCGATTATTTTGATGTCGATTACTTTGATATATCGATTAATCCGAATTCAAGTTGGAATAACCAGAATGCTGGTTATTCGAACTCTTAAATAATAATTTCCGGTGAACTGAAGAATCAAGTATAAATAAAATTTCGGCTAAATGAAATTTCTAAGTTCCAAGTTAGTTATAAAATTTTTGACTAATTTAAATTATTAGTAAACATATATTATTTTACAATAATGATAATAATAAACGTGAAATCTTGATTGAATATATATATATATATATATATATAGATTTGGAAATATTTCTATACGCTAACGAAACTTATATACACACGCGAACATCTTCACTTTCTTCGACGGTATATACCCACTCCGAATAATTGAGGGGGGCTAATGGATACCCGCTTCGAGTTTTGTTTGCACAGTTTTAAAACACGAGCGTGGAGTATGGACGTTTTTCGCGAAAGAGCCGAGGTCGAAGGGGCATCGGTTATATATATATATATATATATTCTCTTTCTTTCTCTTTTTATATACTTTGCGTGTGACTAAAGTCAAAATAAAAGAATAAAAAAAGAATTTAAAAATAGGTCTGTAATAGATTTTTTTAAAAAAATAACCATTATTCTGGTTGAAGAATATTCAATAATTTGATTCTGGTTATTCCAAGCAGAATTCTAGTTAATTTAACCAGAACTCTGCAATGAAAGAAAAATTCTGGTTAGGCTATATTTAACATTACTTTCCAGTTAACCAGAATTCTAGTTGCATTAAATAGAATTCTCGTTAAAATAACCAGAATTCTGGTTAATCTTATTAGAATCAAAATGTTAAATATACCCTAACCAGAATTCTAATTGGAACAACCAGAATTCTGGTTATTCTAACTAGAATTTTTTTTCAGTGTGACTAGGGTATAATTATATAATTGTGGTTCCGTGTAAAAAAAACCAGAATTCTGGTTATTCCAACTAGAATTCTAGATAAACTAAATTTTTAGTCAGATTTGATTTAAAATTATGATTATGGTTAGATTAACTAGAATTCTGGTTATATTAAACAGATATTTAGTTAATTTTACCAGAATTCCGGTTATTTCGACTGAAATTTTGTTTCGGATATGTTAAACATTATTATTTTGGTTAGACTAATTTAAATTCTAATTAATTTAACCGAAATTCTTGTTATTTCAACTATATAATTTTGGTTCGGGCATATGTTTATAATTATTTTTTTGGTTAGATTAATGAGACTTCTAATTAATTTAAACAAAATTCTGGTTATTCTAACTAGATTTCTACTTCTGGTTACACTAACCAGAATTCTGGTTAGTTTAACTATAATTTTGGTTCGGGTATATGTTTATAATTATTTTTTTGGTTAGATTAATGAGAATTCTAATAAATTTAACCAGAATATTGGTTATTCCAACTAGATTTCTAGTTCTGGTTACACTAACCAGAATTCCGGTTATTTTAATTAGAATTTTAGTTCTGGTACATGTTTTTCATTGTTTTCTTGATTATATTAATGAGAATTCTAATTAATTTAACCAGAATTCTGGTTATTCCAACTAGATTTCTACTTCTGGTTACACTAACCAGAATTTTAGTCAATTTAACCAGAATTCCGGTTATTTTAACTAGAATTTTAGGTCAGGTACATGTTTTTCTTTGTTTTCTTGATTAGATTAATGAGAATTCTAATTAATTTAACCAGAATTCTGGTTAATTCAACTATAATTTTGGTTCGGGCATATGTTTATAATTATTTTTTTAGTTAGATTAATGAGAATTCTAATTAATTTAACCAGAATTCTGGTAATTTTAACTAGATTTCTAGTTCTTGTTACATTAACCAGAATTTTAGTTAATCTAACCAGAATTCCAATTATTTCAACTAAAATTTTGGTTTCGAATATATATTTAACATATTATTTTTTTGGTTATTCCAACTAGATTTCTAGTTAGGTTTTATTTAAAATTATAATTCTGCTTAGACTAACCAAAATTCTTGTTACTTAAACCAGAATTCTAATCAGTTCAGCCAGAATTATTTTAGTTTTATAATTTAATCAGATTTCTAGTTAATTTAACAAAAATTTTGTATTTACCTTAACTGTAATGTATAATGTTAAAAATATAGCATTTAATCAAAATTTTTTTTAGTGTCAGAATTATTGAAAAAAGTAAAAAAAAAAATTTTATTTTTCTTTACACTTTTTTTAAAAAATTACTTTCACACTTCGAGCTGTAAAAAGAGGCCATTTTTACTCAACATTGCATGTTTCTCAGGGGCCATACTATCTTATCAAGACACGACGCAGTCTCTCTTATCAGAGAAATATATTTATGGGGTGGGACATGAACCTGGAGGATATATAGACATTTTAAAAAAAAATTCCTACAACCAACTATGATGCCTATATATATATATATAATATATTACTTTGCACAATATTTCTAATTCAAAATTTTTTCAATTTTCACTTAATATATATTTATATTGCTGAATTAAAAAATTTTTTTTTAAAAAACAATATTTTATAAAGCAAAACAATTTTTTTTTTTTATCAGGCAGCGAAAATAAATTTTTCTATCGAAATACAAATATTTATAAAAAAAAATATTGACGTTTTCAAACAATATTGTTTTGTTAAAATATTGAAAAAAAAAATTTTTTTAATAAAAACCATTTTAATGTCGATATGTATACATTTTTTTCTCTCTCATGTTTTACGTACAATATTTTCTATTAATTAGATTATGATATTTACTTTTAAAAATTAAAAAAAAAATTCTCTTTTTTTTATGATTTCTTGAGCAATTTTCTAAATTTCCACTTTTAAACGACACGTTTGTCATATAAACTGAAAACTCTTGGTGAACTAAAATACAACATATATATATATATATATATATATGTAAGGTTATTTACTCAAGTGTCAGGCGTTTCGTCAATCAGTCCTTGCCTCTAATTAGGCGCCATAAATTTTAATTCACTGTTTCGATCGTTGCGCAATTACAAATGCGCGTATCAAGGCAACGAGACACTAAAATATTCATGTTCTCGTGATAACACACGTAAAAAAATATATATATATATATATATATATATATTCTAACAAAAAAAAAAAATTATTTTCTATTTCTGAAAAAATATAAATTATTAATAATTAAAAAAAAAATTTAATGCAACATTTGTTGAGAAGAACTAAAAATATTATTAAAAATAATCAATGAGAAAGAAATAAAAAATTCGTATATAATTGATATATTCTTAGTTTGCAGAAGAAATTATAAAATTAAATTTACAAAAAAAAAAAGAAGAATAATTATTATTTAACAATATTGTATGAGCTAATAAAAGTATATTTGAAGAAATCAAAATTTGTTTGTATTTAACAAATTCTTCTTCATGTAAATCAATATAAAAATTTCGTTCCTTTTTTCTTTTCAGTAATAAGCCAGTTGCCGCTTAATTAAATCATTTCATTAGTAATGAATTTAAGATGAGTTATATTATAAATTTAAACGAATTTATATGTTCCTCGTGTGTATTAATATTTAAAAAAAAAATGTTCAAATAATTCTTTATAGTTCATTAAATAAAATTTAATTATCCTAAATTGACACAATCAATATATTATATATAAACTCAAACACATGTTTTCTTAAAAAGAAATTATTTATATACATACATATATAT